CACTTTTCTTCTGTAAGTTGTTTTAATACTTCTCCAACAATCTAAAACAAATGTACTATTATTTTTGGTATACATATTATAATGTAAAAACGATTAAAAACGAAATATATAGTTCACCTGTCCAACACTTTGTAAAGCTTTTAAATCACTTTCAGATTTATCATACTGTTTCGTCAAATCTTTGAGATGATCTCTCACTAAAAGTATAAAAAGTACAATGGACGTTTATTAAAAGTTTTATTATCTTCGTAATAATAATTGTCAATGTAGGAGAGAAGATAGAGGTTAGGTATCTGAAATTGTTTATAAAAGCAGAATAATCAAAATGAATGTATATAATAAATATAACTTACTCTCCTTTAATCGTGACTCTACTTCTTTATGTTCGAGTAGCTTTTTTCGATAATCTTGAAGGGCTTTTTCCCTAACAGAATCTGCAGTAGTTGCCATCTTTAATTATTTTGCTGTCTAACTGTCTCAGGCAATGTTTCTATAGACGTTGTACAAGTTCTCAGATGTATATAGTTATAATCATTGCTATATATGTTATGTATAGTTACTTTGAAATATAATTTTACTGTATAATTATTTATAAATTATTATTGAAAATTTAATAAGTAGATTATTTATGTAAAAAATTCTTGTTATTGTGTTTTCTACAATATGCTACATTTTGTCAATTATTCACTGTTTTGCTATAATTGTAAGCCCGCCTTTATATAGAATATTTTCACAATGAAGTTACTGCTAAACCTATATTTTCTAAAGTAATTTGTATTTTTGAAAATGTTATAATATTAAATATTGAAAATATATAAAAAAAGAAAAAGTTATCGAAGAAAACATTATACTTAGTTTTATGTAGAAAAAATGGTGGCTTTAGCGACGAAATTTTGCCCGTTTAAACATGTGTATACTAATACATCCTACACAAAAATTTGTAACAGATGTTATTTAACAAACTTGAAACAAGAACAGTATAAAAAAAAAATTCATCCTTATAAACAAATACATCCTTGGAAATCGTTGGTAGAATTTGCAGATGATCTTTTAAACAACATCATTTATGATAAAGGTGATAATACATTATTTCTTGTTACCTAAATATTTCAACTTTTAAACCTTTTAGATGGATTGGTAGTATTAAATAAACCATATGGAATAATTCGTGGTGGTCAGGATGTTAATGGTGAGATACATACTAGAAGAAATAGTGTACCAAATAGTGTAACTTACTCAATACAAGATGCTTTACCACATATTTGTAAGCAGTTAAAATATCCACAGTTAACTATATCAAAATGTCCTGAAAAGTAAGCATGATTATTTTATAGATATGTGTTAAAAATATGTTTTGTTATATATATATATACATATATAAATATAAAATATATATATAAATAAAAGTTAATTTTTAAATTAGGTATATGAGTGGTATTACACTTTTAGCAGCAGATTCTAAAGTTCAACATGCCATAGAACTTGCATATGTTCGTTCTTTATTTTTCGCAAATACTTTCTGGTTAGTTACAGTTGGAGTTCCAAAGATATTAAAGGGCTCTCACCGTTTGGCAATAAGAACAATATCAAATCCTCAATTTCAGTGGAAAAAGGTAAATTTATTAATTAATTTTATTACAATAGATTTTTCATTATGTTAATATAACTTTCAGACAATTCTTACTACATCATGGTCACAGAATGAGGAAAAATCTCGTAAAATAAAACTGTTTAAGTGTGAATACGAAGTGTTATCCAACTCTACGCTCAATTTATGTTCCTTAATTCAGTTAAAAGCATCCACAATGGCAAGGCATGCACTTAGACTATTTGCAGCCACACTTTTATATACCCCAGTTTTGGGAGATAATATTTATGCATCACAGATCCAGAAAGTTGGAGATACTTATTTAAAAATTGATCCATTTCTTAGTTGCCCCGAACCTCCGAAATTGGATATAAGACTTCTCCAGTTGTTGGATGTGTCCAGCAGACAAAGAGAAATTATTCCTGCTCACATTCACCTAAGATCTACAATATTACCATCCTTTTTTGGACAAGATATATTACTCGAAGCTCCTTTACATCCATCCTTTAACTGGACATTTAAACAACTTGAGTTTAAATATTTAATATAGAATAATATTTCTTGTAAATGATATGTTTAATACAATAGTGAAAGATATTCGAACGTTTTAATTAAACAAGGTAGATAATAAGTGTAAGCATATTTTTAAAAAGGCTATTCTTTTTTGTATGGCAACGTTATTTATTAACGAACGAATATAATTTATTTAATGAGCAAGTACATATTTTCCTTTTAAAATTCTTCTCATAAGAATCTTTCTTCCGTTAGGAGTCGACATCCTTGCTTCCCAACCGTGGCGTTTGATACGAAGACGTTCGCTAGGATGCGGAAAGTGGTACCTCATTTTGCCTCTACTTAAAATAAGGCTCCATGGATTCGTAATTGTTGACGGAGTCAAGATTGACGAACAAGCTTGACCCAATGATACAAGCCGTCTGAAAATAAGCATAACCTATTTGAACGAAAAAAAGTGCATCATTATTTTACCTAAATACATAGAACGACGACATACGGAAGTGCTTGATATGCACTGGAAATTAAATTGCCTATCATGTTACGACGCTTTTACAAATAATTTCACAACTTTTACACAACAATGCAGAAGCACGTTTCACGAAAGAATTCTTTCCTAACAGTTCCGAAGATGAACAACAGCGCCATCTGAATAACAATCCTACAACTTCCTTTAAACGTTTCAAACCGCAACAAACTCTGTAGTTACAGTAGATTGACGAAAGAAAAGGGTAATCATTCCTCTTCAACCAACTATATGAAACATCGAAATATTTGCCATCGGCAATTATTCAAAGCAGAATAACCTAACCTCTTTCTCCGGATTACCAACCTTTGCTACAGTACACACACACACGTCATACAAACGCACGATAGAACGATTGTGTTGGGACAGGACAATAGGATTCTAGTTACAGGTTTCATTGATTGTCATTAGTGTGAGTATTGTGAAGGCGACACTAGCCGAATAGGATTATCAGCGTGGAACGTGCGCGAACAAAATGTTTCTAATAACACTTCACGCATCGAAGAATGCCGCGACTATCGAGAAGCGATTCATCTCAATCATGTCACGGGCATCGTGTCTGATTTACGCCCGTAGGGTCCGGTGCGCGGTTCAAAACCGCTCCCTTCTTTTCTTCCGTGTCACCCTGCTCTTCCTTCCACGCCTCCCTTTTCATTTTCACCGAATGCACCCCGTGGCGCCGACCCATTCTCGCGTACACCTCGATTTCTACGGTAGGTATACATTCGTAATCGAATTTACGCGACCTCGTTGCCGCGTCCTGTATACCAGGATTATAAATCTGTCCGGTGACAGATTGTGATCAAGCCGAAACCGCGATACAAATGAGAGAATCTCGAAGAAAAATCACCTGGTAGTTAGAAGTGAAAAAAGATTCTCCGCATTTTTTAACCCTTTACTCCACACTCGTGACCTAACGACAATCGTTAGTTATTTTTTCTTTTTCTTTTGTTACGTGAAAAATTTGTTAAAATAAATAAAGGAATTATATTTATTTCGAACGTATTTTTGTACTTAACAACCACGATATTTCATCTGTTCAGATTATGTATATGTACATCGAAGCATAGTCCGCTTTATAGATCGTTTTGCGCTTCGTGTTGTTTCTAATTGAACCGATGCGACCTGGTTCGCAGATCATGTGGAACGTGGATCTACTGTATTGAAATACGAACTGTTAATCTCTAGGTGTGTTTTGTGCAAATTTTCGTAACAAGAGGAAGCTACCTTTGAAATCTTCCTAAAATTCAAATTGTTGTCAACCCATCGGTAACCTGATTTTTCCCCGTTCGTGAGAGATATTTATAAAAAAGTGTAATAATAAAGAATACTTGTAAAAAAATCTTTTTTAAAATTGGACCAAACGACTTGAGCTTTTCCTCAGAGGTTAGAAGGAACAGCATACCAGACGACGTGTGCAAAAGATTTTGAAGAAAAATTGCACTTGTTCGGAATCGCGAATTCACAACTTTTTTCCAAGGGTGTACGAACAGTTCTACGACACACTGTTGTAGCCCCATCTTCGATTTCCAACATCTCGTTAGATTAGAAAGCGACAAGGACAATAACGAATTTCGATAATGCAAGGATAAACGAGGGTGAAAGAGGCGCGCGAGGATCGGTAAGAGAAAAGTCAGCGAGTAAACGTGGCGTGAGTTGTGAGTTTAGAACGTTACATTAATTTTACATCGAGATATTTCCAATATACAGACTTCATTAACCCCTTAACATATGACAACCTGTCAGACTCGTGGCAGAGATTCTGGCGAAGATGTGAGAAAAATAGTTACATCGGTAAGAAAACTTCATTGTAATCCTAATTTTCGTTTGAATTTGGAAGACCGAGGATTGCTAAATGTAATTAATCCGCGACAGATTAGTTTTCGTTATCTGATACGGTACTGAAACAGAAAATGGCCGACGCTTAGACGCCTAGTCAGAAAAGAAATCATAGTGTAAGGGGTTAATTAACCGAGAGTTCCAAAAGTCAATACCTCTATCCCTAACAGCTCCAGTTCAAATCCTCCAACAACTACGTCACACTCTGATCAGATACGAGACGGTCTACGTTTGGAAGATCTCCGAAACCGACCTCGTGATCGCCGAAAAATGCGTGGGTGCGGGTTTTAGCGTCCTCGTAGCTGTCGTTGGACCCGGTACATTGTCAACTGTCAGTTGACAGGGCGCACAGGATGCGCCTTTTCCGTTCGGAAAGAGCTTCTCTTATGGCCACTCCCATCCCATACAATTGCGTTCAATCGTCCATCGATTGTACGCGACCGTATCGCTCCCGCTATACTTATCGATTCGCCCGTCTCGCGTATCTTTCCGCGCGGCGTTCCGCATCGAAAAATGATAGAGGCGCCGCATCTTCTTCCATCGATTTGCCCGTCAAATAATTCTTCTTGCCGCTTCAGGCATTCGCGATTACCACTCTTCTCTCTTCCGGCTCGCCATCGATTCGCGCAAACCTTACCGAAACGCGATTTATGCCGGCCCCCATTCTCTACCGATAATTCGATTGTGTTCGCCTTCTACGTTCTTCTTCGCGATGGTATCGATGTCAGTTCTACGATAACTTTCTGTCAGACTTTTCTCTCTTATCGATAGCCGTGAACTTGTCGTTTTCAAAGTTCCCGCGGCTTTAAGCTGTTCCTTTTGAAATTTTCTATTTGAACGGACATGTACGTAATTTTTCAGATTACATTTCAGTTACGTAGAGATTCAGTTTTAGAAAGTCGCTAACGGGTCATTTTTGACCCGGCCGATTGTTCTAGCGTTAATTCTAAGGGAATTTCTAAGAGAAAGAAAGATGCAAATGAATTTCTCCTGTCTAGACCTATAGTTTACAGCCGGAGAGAAATTGTGCTCACAGTTTGCTGGTTTACTTCGAATTTTTAGTTTTTATTTTACTAGCAATCGGAATACATTCCTGCGAGCTAATTTGCTGACTTGGGTACTGTTTTCTGTACCTCTTAAAGCGCCATTGACGAGTCCTCCTTGACCATCAATTGCGTCTGCTGGCCATTCACTTTCAAACGAATTCGTTATAATTTCCCAAAACCGAGTACCACTTATCACTGCAAAGTTACACAGTAACGACTTAAAGATCGTCTACGAAAAACTGAAGCTTGATACTAAAAGTTCTACCTCGTTCTTCATATCGTCCTCTATATACCCGGAATGAAACTACAAACTGTATCGAACATTACAAAAATTATTTCAAAGAAAAATCTCAATTCCAGCGACGTCACGTTTCTCCAAAACGAACTTCCCAGGCCGACCTAACAACTTAATCGTCGCAATTATTTCCACGTCTCTTCCTCCGTTCACGAAAGACCGTCCTATCTGGTCCATTTCCACGCCGAAGACGCAGAGGTGCGGGTCCATTGAAGTATCGAACCTTCGATTTCACCGGGAACGACGCGCCCATCTCTCAGAAAAAAAATCCTAATGCCCTCGTTTACGTGACGCAATATCCGGCCCCGGGTGTTCGTGTTTCAGTTTCACATCGTGTGTCGGTCGTAACCGTGCTCTCCTCCGTCTTTCTATACGGAAAATCCTCCCATTGTATCCTCTATCGGTTTTTCTTCTCTCGACTAACACCCAGTCGAGAACTGAGAAAAAAGGTGTCTCCCTTCTGAAACCACCGTGTGTCCACGGAGCGAGATATTTCGTGAATTCTGGAACTCCGCCGACACGAGTAGTATCCTCCGTTGAATGGTGTCCTCTCCCCCTCAGGTTCACCAGATATATGTAGCAAACCTGGAGGAGTCGCGGAACTTTCTAACACGTCGGTATTTTTCGACGCGACACGTCGTCGTATTCTCATTGTGCCAGGGATGACGTCGAGTCGCATTGTCGTCGATGCTCGCCCTTTATGCTCTTACACGTGCATCGGCACACCGTGCACCTAACATTCACGCGGATCCTCCAACTACCTGGACGGTTGAAAGGCTCGGGAAACATTTCCCCGAGTTTATCCAGCGAGCGACACGGCTATGGAAGGATTCTTTGTCACCGTAGGGATTTGTCGCCGCAGTTAAAAACGTGTGCAGCGAGTCGAGGGGCCGAGGGAGAGAAATCTGAGCCCGGCCGGTGAAATCACGTTACGGAGAAATTGTCCCGGCGTTTTTGCCCCGACGACAAACCTCCCTGCCGCGTCCGTGATTTCGCTACTTTTCAACGTTTCCTCGGTTTTAATCAGCGAGATTTCACCGTTTCTTAGCGCGTCCGTGGGATTTGCCGGATTAACGAGGGAGGTCGGCACAGTTTTGTCGCGAGATAAAAGTGTAATTGAGGTAGGGAGAGACGGGAGGAATTGGGGGAGAACGATAAGTTTCTGTCCTCGACTTTGAATTTGATCACGTTGGAATTTCGTGGAGACGAACGAGACGAATCGAAGGGAGGTGAATTAAATTTGTGTACGATCTCTTGAGCCATTCGCATCGTTTATATACGCGAAACTTTCCTGGTAGTTATCAGGGAAGCGTATACATACACGCAGGTTACTAAAATTTCGCGTTAAGGGTATTCTAGTCGAGACTTTTCAAAAAAATCGGTTTCTTTTTCTTACATTTTCTGAAAGTAAACATTTGCAGAAGTGTAACTGTCGAAGGATTTTTCCGAATTCGTATACCATTCTCATGTAACTGGTATGAGAAACTTTAAACGCGTTTTTCTCCAAACTATGTTTTTCTAAATGGCTGACATGATATCTCAAGTTCTAGTCGTCCGATTCACTCGAAATTTTACATGCACCTTTGGCGGATGTGCCGTTATCGTCTGAACCAGAATTATGCCAAAATATACATTTTTCTGATTTTTAGAGCATCTGAAAGACGAAAAAAAGGCGACAAAATCGATACACAAAATTCAAAGTGCCGCCATTTTGTAAATTTTCATAATTTCTTTTTCATTCTGGTTCACACCATAATCGCATTCGTACTAATCAAGAATCCTTTTCGTTTTTTCATTTCGGATAAACAGAATGGGCGGAATCGTGTCAGCCAGTAGGACACGTTTTTTTTAAAGGGACCGCACTGAATGATGTGTAATTCAGACAGTTTTGATTATTTTCACTTGAAAAAAATTGTGAACTTTCTTAAAACA